CGACCCGAACCTGTTTTACTTCCGCATTCCTGTCGTTTTGGTCCGGAGCAGAAATTGCACGTGTGACCGCAAGTGGAGCTGCTTCGACGCTGCGCCGGAGTTGTCACGCTCAGCGGCTTTGCACGTGTGACCGCTCCACAAAATTTGCTCCGGTGTAAAATACATCGCAACAAAATATTTCGGTGCAGCGTCGGACCAAATGTGTGCCGTGTGAACAGGGCTAATGTTATAACTTGCTGTTGGTTAAGTGAACTGTGTTGCTGCTTTATTAAATAAGTTTTACTGACATCTGATCATCGCGATATAAATCAGGGTGTAGTGTAGTGTTCTGTTGGCATTTCCTTGAGCGTAGCTCCATCTAGTGGATGCATTGTAGATTGCGTCTTATAATGCGGTGCATCCAATATATGAAAAAAATTACAAAATAGGCCATTCATTGAAGGTGCGCCTCATAATCCAGTGCGCCTTTTAGGGTGGAAAATACGTTACCATAGCTGATATATGTGGGGCGAGGTGTTTGTTGTGTGCATCTTTGTGTGCTTGTTGATCGCATCTTCACCGCATTGTGCATATTGCCCTTGTATCTCAGCAGTCGAGGCAATAGGGACCAACTGCAGCACAGATGAAAGTATTGCCCGTCACAAGTCAACACAGTCTGAACAAAAAAAAAAGTCTACAAATCCAAACGGGGTTTTCTAACTTTTTTGACGTGTGGATTTGACTGAAGATGCGCTGCCAAAGTACTAAAACAGCATAGTAAAACAATGCTTCCTCCGTAGGGCCTCAGGGCATGAAAAACAAAGGAAATTGAGTCGATGAAGGGCAGAATTGGGGGATTTGATTTGAATAGTGTTGACGAGCCCGAAACTAACATATGCTGTGATTTTTCCAGAAGCTTCTATTCGCATGGAGATACAGTATGAAAGTCTATTAAGTCGATTAAAGTGCAGGTTGCATTTTGTGGCACACTGCAAGTTGTGCATGTGTGTTCAGCAGAACGACAAAGACAGCCACCAGTAAGAAACAAATATAAGGCAAGCTCATCTTTACAAGGTATCTAATGGCTAAAGCTTTCCTATCTGCACAGTTTCTTTCCTATTAATAGTTTGGGTTAATGCAAATAACATTTTGAGCCAACTGCTTCAATGCGCATCAGCAGAAAGCTTCATTTGCTTTTGAACTTTTGTTTCCTCGTTGACTGCATGTGAAGTACAAAAGGTTAGCCTTGATATCTTGAGCTCAACAACTCCTTCCAAGAATGAAAACGAATACCGGTATGGTCCAAAGTTCCGGTACGGCAAGAATTTTGTTTGTTTTTTTTTTTTTACCAAGGAAATGCATGCTGGAGTAGACCCGCTCTTCGTCGCTGTTACATTGGACATACTTTGTTCTCTGGGATAGGGAGTTGAGCAAAGGAGCCACAGTCAGTCGGAGAATCTTCAGACCTGGGCGATACCGGTATACGGGCCGCAATGGCAGCCATTTCTCCTGTTTGACTGTCCGCAGTTGTTCCTGGTCGCTCTGACGTCTGGTTCAAGTTGCTTTCTGGCACGGCCACGATGCCGGTGAAGAGCTGGATGATGCACTTCCGGAACTAAATACAAATCAAAAGCATGACAAGTCATCTGTGTGCTTTAAGTTTTAAGCAAATAACAATATCTTAAACAGATCCTCATCATATGTTCTGCAGAATGTCTACTTTGCACAAGCTTACATTTTTCTAAGGGCAGATCTAGTGAAAACATGCAAAGAGCTATAAGAGCATCAATTAAGGGGACTTGTTAACTCCTGTATTATTCAGGTCAAAACCATTTCCTCCTAAAGCTGGCGGTACAATCCAAATTGCTTCGTTCTCAATTTCAAACCCCTTTCACACTGCCGATTTCAGGTGGCTTTTTCCCTGCATGGTGTCCTGTGTGTAAAGGCACTGAAACAAAATGGGCAATTGAAGTCAACTAGCAAAAAGGCAGACAGCACGACACGTACAATGTGAAGTTAAACATGCGAGAACCACTTCTCACTTTGTATTAAAGGATACCTCTGACGGTGCTTTAAAAAAAATGGTGCTGAAAATTGGCTCTAAGTGATTAAGGTAGCCCATGAGTCCCATCTCTGTCTTTTTAGAACGTTAACACCAGCTCATGCGAAGTTCATTTTTAGTTGCTTTTATTGTTGTTGTATTTTATTTTTTTCCAATTAAATTCTCATTCTTTGCTACTCTTTTCATAGTAGTTAGTTTCCTTATGATGGAATTTTTCCAATTCCCATGTAGGCTTTGAGAATAAACGTGCACCTCATGAAAACTGTATTGTGCAGTGTCAAACTCGCATCTCTCCAAATGTACCATCCTTCGAATCAATGACTGATTTTAAGAAGTTTTTCATTGGTTTGACCCTTTTACGTTTAATTCAAAAATGGGTGCCGTGCCCCTAGTGGCAGCCGAATGTACTGCAGGCAGTAAACTCAAGCCGTCGTTAATAAAATACATTGACCCCTTTTTATCACTTCAATATTTTAGCTGTACATTTGTGTCTTTGCCGATCTTGAATTGCTTTATTGGGGAAATGGTGGTCTTCCCCATCACTCACGTCCCGCCGCTATTTCGACAGTCACCCTTCTAACACTGCCCGCATCATCACCCCCTTTTTATAAATAGCATTAAGTGTGCACAAATGGGTTTTTTTGTTTTTTGTTTTTTTTAGCATATTGTGCGGGCAGCAACAAAACAGCAACAAATGGCCCCTAAGCCACATATTGGACACCACTGCTTTCTAGGGTCACAGTCTTTTGAAGTTGTGGAGTAGTGGATCTGACACAAGCAGTGCTTTAAGCCCTTTTGTATCAGCTCATTTCTTGATCAGGGTCATAAGTGGTTTGGTGGAACATGTCCATGTGAGTCATTCAATTATGTGGACGAGCCAATTGTAGCAGCACAGTATGATGTGTTATCCAGCCATAGATTGCTATGTCCTGTGAGTGAAGTATGGCAGCACTTTAGTAGGCTTCTCTGTAGTCGCTGCCATTCATTAGTCTGTAAATACATTCTGCTAACCATTAGGAAACTGTGCTCATATGATCCCTTTCCAGAGATAGAACTCATTCCCAGACCTGGAACAGGGCCTCTGCCAAAGGCTGTTGGTGCTTTATAAAATGCTGTGTTTCTCAGCATGTGTTTCTTCAATGTAATTGCATTTTTGTAAATCTTATTCTGAGCATGACGTAAAACAAGTCACTTGACTTCAAGTACTGGCTACTTAGCCGAAGTAGTTGGCGTTCTGATCCAGTGTTCTTATTTGCATCTACTTTTCATGTTGACAGAGGCTGACCCAGTTAAAGAAGTAAGATGTAGGACACTCCCATGGACATACAGACGACATGCAGTTCCCTGCAGGGGAGTCTGAACTTATGGCCTTTTTTGTTATGCAATTACACACTTACAGTAGTTGGCGGTGTGTTACATACACTTCCCCCCCTCCCCCCTCCCCATTTATAACGTTTAGGTACGTAATTCTGTATTAGGAAAGCCTCTTGGTGAAACCAAGAGGTCATATAAAGAACAATGTAATACATTATAAAAAATAATAATAGAAAACATCCATCCATTAATTTTCTGATCCGCTTAAGCTCACAAGGGTCACGGGAGATTTACCTTTAATTACCATATCGAACTCGCCTTCATCGTATTAAGTTGTCTCATTAAAAAAAGTGATATATTGTGTCGAATCATTAGGCCTTATATCAATACTGTCGAACCTCGTTTCAACGTAACCCGTTTACATTTTCACCCCTACAACGTTCACGTTTCAAATTCTCGATTTAATACAATTCATTTTCCATTTGCCAATTTTGTTTACAACAAACACCTTTATAAAGGAAAAGTCATTATAACAGCCGGATTTTTTCCCCCACAAAATAGTGAAAAGGCCTTTGTTACAACAAACCGTGGGAATCTAACTCCCGCCGCATTGCTTATGAACAAAATGTACGGTGCGGGATTCCCCTCCGTTGCTTAGCAACGCTATTGATCGAATCGGTACATTGTTGTCCCGCCTGCCGTAACTCGCTGTCCTGAGCACATTCTCTGAAAACATATCAGGTCAGCGGAAGCAAATCTCGCTGTCTGTGAAGCCTGAAATTGTCTCTCACTTTTGAAAGGGACTCTCTCAGACGTCGGCAGCACTGGCATTTGCTGACTGAATGTTTTCAGAGATGAAGTAGGAATGCTACAGTTGTTTATTTCATGTCTTATAATTTTATTTTTTTTTCATCTTCACATATTTCTAATTGACATGTTTATACTGTATTGCACACTCATGTTTTTACATCTGTTCATACTGTATTATACATCGTACTTGGCGGCCATTTTATAGGAAATGGTTACAACGAGCTCCCGTAATAATGTGCAGATTCGTTATGTCCCTCCACGTACATTGTAACGAGATTTGACTCTATGTATTTTATCACTCCAAAAAAACTATCATTACACCCCTAATGTGTACTATGATAGTATGGTATATATAGTATCGGCACCTTAGCAATAGCTTCATGTATTGATCTCAGCGTCAATGTGCTTCTTTTATACAAGCTCTATTCTTGTCAATACTGGATCACTCAATGATGTTGAGCCAAATACTGTCCCAATCTCACAAACAGTTCAAGGCAGTACAGTGCAAACCTTAACAAGAGAAATGTGACTTGAATATTCCTAGCAGTACCAATAGCCAACTTTACAAGCATTACATAGGTGGGTTATGCATTTTTCAACAGGGCCTCATATGGACAATTGTACCTACTGAATTGCACATTTTATTTATTCATATGCCGTGCATTATTTAGAACCAGGCAAGCTCCTCCAACAATATAGACATCTTGGGATTCACGGCAAATTTCAACTGCAGTACACACATCATGATATGTCTAAGCTTCAGTTAAAAGAGGAAATATTACCTGTCTGTTCATGAACACGTAGATGATTGGGTTGTACACCGCAGCTGTCTTGGAGAAGAATGCAGGAATGGAAGCCAACCTTGGATCCAATTCAATGTTTGGATGAATTGTAACCAGTATAGCAAATACAGCATATGGTGTCCATGCCACCATGAATGCTATAATCATCACTATCACCATCCGGGTCACCTGGCGCTCGGGCTTCCTGGCATTGGCCAGACGACCGTGGGACACCTAGAGGGAAAGAAAAGGGTTCTTGATTTTATTTATGGTTTTAGATATTGCTGACATGGCTTTACAAGTCACATTAAAGTGTGCTTCAAACACACTTTTAAGTACACTAAGGTCAGAAAAAACAGCACGTGTGGTCTTTTCTCAACAGGGCAATAAGCATGAGTTTGACAGAGTTTTGGAATGTCAATTCCTTTGCACATCTGTGATGGTCAGATAAATGCAATATAAGTATTGACTGCTTTTTCAAGTGACATGGACATTCTGAACATCAAGAATACAGAACTACATTGACATTTTACACTACAACAGTCCTCCTCAAATAGTGGGTTGGGGCCCCTTGGGCCGCCATGCTGCGATGTCAAGGGGGGGTATGTCATGTGACCTTGGGCAACATGCTTTTTATTACTTGTAAATTGGTCTTTATTTATTTATTTTGTGTTAATAAAGGTTGGCAACCGGTGTTCATGCGGTTCGCTCTCCAGCCCTGAGGTTACTGCGAGCGGCTGGGAAACCACACATCGGCATCTCCTCTTGCCCCGCGAATCTGGCCAGCATTCGGGTGAGCTCCGCCTTTCTCACACCCTCCAAGCGAGGCCGGCCAGCCACAGCCGTCACTCCGTTCAGCTCCGCACCGATAGCAGCCACCATGGCGGAGGCTGCAGGCAAGCGTTTACTGAAGCCATGCAATTCTGAGTACACATGGCCCGTAACCGAAACATGTAACCTCCCGAAATTTTGCACCGACATTTTAAAATGTGAACGTTTCCGGGAGAACCAGAATTTAAGTCCCAGTTCCACTTGATTTCCAAACCTAAAGTGTGATGAGAGGTTTAAAAAAAAACAAACAAAAAAAAAAACATTTAACTCAATACTGATTGTGGTATCTCATGAAGATAATGGTGGATTTCATTCAGAGTACTTATAGTGAGGAAAGGACTCATGTAGGCAGGCCTCTTGTATCTATGACTTCAGAAATATTTTCTCAAATAAGTGAAAACAAGGCCATTCGCTCCCCAGGTGTATTTGAAGCCGCACTGACCTTCCGGAGCTTCCGCAGTAGCTTCCCATAGCAGAAGAAGATTAGTCCAAGAGGCAGAATGAAACAAGTGGAGAACAAGGTAATGATGTAGCTGTGGTCAGTGATGTTGGATGAATACCTGGTAGACACACATCCATTCAAATAGTGTTCAGTTCCCACATACAGCAATGAATAATTTGAGCAAAGCCATTGTGACAAAACACTCATGTAGCAAATTGTCTACATTTTGAGGATGCTTCTTGTACGGGTTCAGTGAGTTCACGTCATCAAGGAAAACTCCCAATACATCTCTATTTTTTGAGACATCTAAATATTTTTCTATGCCAAAGTCCCTCAGATACATTTATTGCAAACCATATTGACTGCAATCATTTTTTGCCATGTAATTTTGTTGCAAATCTCTTTTCCAGTATCTTGGGAAATTGTGTCAGTCGGAACATTGGCCTGTTGTAAATTACAGTATGTGCTTCCGAATCTTTATATAGTGGGATCCCTGTGGCTAATTTCACTTTGGGGAAGTGGGGGCTGTTCAGTGCTTTCTCTCTCTCTCTCTCTCTCTCTCTCTCTCTCTCTCTCTCTCTCTCTTGCATTTCCTGAGCACTCAACTCTGCCTTTACGTTCACTCAACGTGACACAGCTTGATGTGCCACAAAGTCATCCGATCAGGGAGGCAAATTCTGATATGCTGTTTCCTGTCCAATCGCTCAGGAGCGGGATGAAAGATAGCTGTCTCTATATTTATTGAGAAAGTATAAAAACAAACAAATGGGGCTTAGGAATATAGTCGAGAAGGTGCCGCATGGCACGTTGCATCATTGACCTTTCGGTCATTTTGGGAAGTGATTCTCTTCAGCATGCAGCCACTGATATACAGTAGAGAGTGCAACATCACATCCTCTTGTTTGATATTAATTATGTGTACTTGCAACGATGTAAAACAATAACTTGAGCACATTATTTGTTATTGTTCGACCGAACTGCTTTGCTTTTAGCTTTTACCGTATACATGTACACACTTTCAAATGACTCTCATCTTGACAAGATTTGTTCGGGGGGGGGGGGGGGGGGACATTTGTTCGTTGTTTTATAGTCAATTCTTACATGAGGTTGTGTGATTTACTCTCTGACTCTGAGGGCTCTTTATTCATGTTTAAGGCATGCGCAGCCACGCGTACAAAACTGGCGTATCTTGATTTTCAGGTCAGGTAAAGCCTCATCTCGTGTGTTTGGCATTGCAGAATACTGGGACATTTTCTTTGACATGCTCCCGGTGTATCTGACAATTAGTGGCTAAAAGTAGACTAAAGTTGATGCCTGCTAGAAGCGGGTCGACGTATTGGTGCAGGTGGCGTAATGCGATTTGGGTGATTTTGATTGAGGCGCAGGCGCACAAATTCTGTGCTCTGCAAATGTGTGGTGACTCAGATTGTATTTCAGCCCTAAATACGACAACACCATACATGGGACCCTCTGAATCATTGTAGTAATCAATTCATTGAACACATCAGCTTAATTGTACTTGGAAAATCACCCTCCTACACAGTTATGCGGTGACGTGCACGTAGCATCAGGGTAAAAGGCGGTCTCCAAGTACCCATTTCACACGGTGATCTGTGATCACCCTAGTCAACTTGGACTCCGGCAAATCAGTCTCGACTTCGACTATGTCAAAGACTGTGTGCCATTTGAATGAGAGGAGCCACTGCGAAGCAAGTCGACTGTGTTCACAACTCAAAAGACGCAAACTACCCATTTCTAAATGTACCAAGCTGCATGTGACTGAGAAAATACCAAAACTTGGTGTTGCTCACCCCTGCACACAGTTAGACTGCGTTACGTGCCGGACTTGCACTGGGTACAAATATCTCAAATGTTCCCCAACTAGCCAAGAAACAAGTCTGAGTTTTAAGTAACTTTGGTTTCATTTTTCAACATGGCTCTCCTGCTATCTCTCGTCTAACTGTAAACACACAAAATTTTCAATGACATGATCTGTGTGTCTTGTCCTATGGGCAATTTGAAAGAAAGTGGCTCTCGTTTTGTTTCTTCTTTTTCAAACTTAGATCAATGCATCCATTCATCCATCCATTTTCTGAACTGCTTATCCTTACAAGGGTCGCGGGGCATGTTGGAGCCTATTCCGCCTATCCCAGCTGTCTTCGGGGAGAAGGCGGGTTGCCAGCCAATCGCAGGGCACACATAGATGAACAACCATCCACACTCACAATCGCACCAAGGGACAATTTTGAATGTTCCACTCACATGCCATGCATGTTTTTGGAGTGTGGGAGGAAACCGGAGTACCCAGAGAAATCCCACGCAGGCACGGGGAGAACATGCAAACTCCACACAGGGAAGCCAGAGCCGGAATCGAACCTTGCACCTTTGCACTGTGAGGCCAACGCGCTAACCAAATTAAAATAAAATTAGTGCATAATTTAGGCTTAAAATGTATGATCTATTTGTTATAGGACCCTTCTTACATTCAGGTACTATCTCACAGATCTCACAGCCACAGATTAATCACTTACTCTCTGTCTGTGTATCCCTAAGACTTCAACTGAACAGTGGTTTCCTTGAAGTTGAATACCCCCCCCCCCCCAACCAATCTGCATGCCTTGATTCAAGCAGCTAAATTGCATTACCCAGATGGCACCCTTTCGGCCAAGGTCAGTGCTCACTTCTTGAATTTTACCTTGAGACACTCTACTGCAGTGTGAGTTTAGAACTCAACATCTTTTGATTTTGTTTTGATAAAACAGCATACCATAAAAAATACATTGCAAAATGCTCAGTATTCTGTTAATGCTACATGTAATAAATTATATGCATTCTTTTTAAATTATGAAGTTATCTGAATTTTATTCTTCCATATTCTTCTTTTTGTGCCTTTCACTGTACATGTATCAAAACTAACAAAACAAACTAGGAATAAAAGGACCGCAATGTTACCCGAGCATTCTTTAATTGAACACGCTATAATCTAATCTCCACGTACCAAAAATAGCTCCGCGTGTTTATATACTAATTGATTCACCATAACAGTTTGTCTCACTTCTTTCTGTGATTTTACTCATGCCTATTCTAGTAAAATATTATGGAAAACAAAACATGCAAGACTCTTAGCTCTCTCAGCTTCAAATTAATGGAAGCAAATGTACTTACATTTATACAAAAATCTCAGACTCAGCTTCGGTTCGTCTTATCTGTCCAAAGCACATTCTCTCAGAAATGTTATGACATTAAAACATGACGTTATCCTAAATACCAGGCTTATGGCTTATTTTAGTGACCATCATATGTGTTCTTGCTTTCCTACAAAAAGCTAGAATGGCAAATATTTCTCGTGACCTCTTCTCCAGCACAGGAGCAACAGACAGAACTTTACTCTCTGAAACCTAGAATGAATTTCACACTAATTAATGTCATTGCCAGTACCTAAATCTGCCCAAGAATTGACTCTTCTTTTATGGTAAACTGACTACTCTGAAAAAGTTGAAACATTTCCTGTGACTTGTTGAATGTGCCGTATATCTGTGAATCATCTATCCATCCGTTTCCTATTGTGCATGGCTTCATTAGCATCACAGGTGAGCTGGATCCTACCCGGCTGATTTTGCATGTCTTAAACATACAGTCTACTGTCAACAAGACAAGGATGTTTCTCACCAGTCAGGCTCGCAGGTTGTTCCAATCTTGCTGACGGTATATCTGTTCCAGCCCAGCACCGGCGGGAAGGTCCAAACGAAGGAAAAGATCCAGACAAAGAGCAGACCCATGACGGCGTGTTTGGCTTGCAGTCGAATGTTGCCCAGAGGTCGACAGATCACGAAGAATCGTTCGAAGGACAGAATGGCCAAAGACCACAGGGCAACAATTCCTGAGGCAAACAGCAGATCAGTCATAGTGGCATGAGTACAGGATCCCAAAGCAGTATAGAGGAAAGTGTGGACAGCAACATTTGCCATATTGTTACCTAGCTTGACTTTAATGTCACTTTGCGATGCCATGCAACGCAATTAACAAAATGCATACATACAACACCACAACACACACACACACACACACACACACACACACACACACACACACACACACACACACATTATGAAAGAAATAGGCTGTGATTGTGATGAACAGAACATCCCAGAGCCACAAATCATGCAGTTTGTCAAATGCTGAAAACATCCATTAATTATATGAGCCACGTATGCTCATGAGGGTCGCGGGCATGCTGGAGCTTATCCCAGCAACCTTCAGGCAGTAGGCGGGGGATACCCTGAACTGGTTGTCAGCCAATCGCAGGGCTCACATCGACTAACAACAATTCACGTGCACACTCACACCTGAGGACAATTTAGAGTGCTCCATTAACCTGCCATGCGTGTTTATGGAACGTGGGAGGAACCGAAGTACCAATGTGTAATTGCACAACCACTGCAATAGGTGGCAGTGTCCCTTTATCAGAGTTTATCCTTCCATTTTCAAGACAGCTTATCGTGAATGGGGTCAAGGGGGTTGCTGGAGCCCATCCCAGCTGACGTTGGGCGAAAGGCGGACTACACCCTGAACTGGTTGCCATTGAGTCACAGGGGCACATATGGATACAAACAACCATTCCCACCCACATCCACACCATCACTGAGTGAGAACCAATTCCACGCTGCCCGCACACAAGTCAGGCGAGTGTACACATACACCATCAATGACTTCACCAAAAAGATGACGTCCATTAATCAGGTGACATGTGTTAAACCAAGGGTGTCGAGACTTTCCACTAATACAGCTTTGCGGAAGACGACACCCTTGCTCAGTAAAAAGTTTGTCTTTAATATCTGTAATAATCGCCGCTCAGTGCCTCTCATTTGTCATCCAACACAGTAATCGAATTACATGCAAATTTTCCGCTATGTTAAAATGTTAAGTGCGTGTGATTTCTGCATTTGATAATGTATTTGAAATGACTTCTCTCTTTTAACTGAAAATGTTATTATGTTTAATTAAATTATGCTTAGAAGCATATGGGGCTGGGATGGCCTGGTTATAACTTCCCCTACAGTGTGGTTATTTATTATTGCTTGACAACGGATCTCAGCTCTGGAAAGCCAAAGAGATGTGAGTAAAGTTACTGATGCTAGAAATAGTTAAATGATCCAGGGTGGTTGAATTAGGCTGCCTCATGATGGACTAAAAAAAAGCTCTCTTTAATTATGGTAATAACTCATTCTCACCAAGCGGGTAATTACCTTTCTCTCTACAATCACAGACTCGCAGTGTCTGAGCTTAGTGTGGAGGACAAAAGAGAATGGTGGAAACCAGGATGTTCCATTATGCTTCACACATTAAAACATGAAACGATACAAAGATTGACGAATGAAACTGACAATTTTTTTTTTGGTCTTGTTTTTTTAGTAGCCCATAATAAGAAGCGAAAATGGTGCACTGATACAGGAACTCTCTCTCTCTCGTACACGCACACACACACACACACACACACACACACACACACACACACACGCGCACACGAACATCTACGTATTTTGTTACCACCGTCTCTTAATCTATTCCCTCGTGACATCCTGAGCAAAATAACAAGGACGACCTGCATCCGGCTTATTTTCATCAATGTCTAATTTATCAACAAATGCCAAAGCAGGTGGCCACAGTGACACACCTGTCGGACCCTAAAACAAGACTAGACTGAACCGGATTTTCCCTCCAGTCCATTGCAAATTGATTAAATATCACTTGAGTAACCGCTGAGCTTATGTATTCTGAAAGAAGTTTTCATTTGGTCAACCTTGAAACGCGTTGGGCCTGTTTTACTTGTATCCCAAATTGCGTGTTCACTCTGACAGATTGCGCACACTGTTGGTGGGCGTGTTGCTGATTTACTAAGACTGCAATCTTGACTAAAACGTAAAATAGCCGGCAGTAAATTCCAACACACTGTGGGGAACTGGTGAAAGAGTGGTTGGTCATCTTTAAAAAGAAGGCTTGACAGTCAATGAAGAGCTGATGGTTTTACCAAGGAGCATTTGTTTTTGCGCCGCTAGTGCAATTTTAACTGATGCAATTGAGAGTCTTATTCAAAGACAAAAAACATATTACTGAATTACAGAAAAGAAATCTATCATTTTGATAATTTTGGTCAAGCCAGCAGTTCTTTTTTCAACTATTTTTTTTTTTTTTTAATACTTGTCTTGAGTGCTCATCCAGACCAACCTTGTGCTGTATTTGAAAACTTAGGATGGCCTAACCAAGTAAAATGCTCTGGACAATGCCAGCACAAGAGATGTGTCGCCTTACATTCTTTTGACGGAGTTATAAAAAAATGCACACAAGCAGAAAAGATCGATTCTCCCCATCACCTCTCATTTTGCCTATGCCTCCTCGTATAGTTATACGCAGCAGCAAGCGTTAGCCAATTTGGTGTCCAAGGCGTGACTTTATACGTTTCTCTTGACATTGGCCTTGAAATTAAGTGTTAATAGTCATCATTTGTTTGACTATGATTGTATTGAAGGTTAATTTTCAGATGATTTTTGGCGTCCCCTAGCGTACATGTCGCCCTTGGCATCTGCCTATCTCCCCAAATGGGCGAACCAGCCCATTTCAGACATGCTATATTAAAGGTCCAGTTCATCTAAGGTTTTGACAAATCACATTGCACATGCTAAATTCACCCATTTGCGTATGGCTACGCTTCCCAGAATGCGCAAAATGAATTGCGTGGACATTTAGCACATTTGGCAGAGGCAATGCTGGGTGCGCGCTGTGACTAGATCAGCTTTCACATCACGTTTGCGGGTTCAATCAAGTTTACGCCTGTTTTTGCATGCATAAATCTTGAGTAAGCCAGACCAATTGTGTTCTTTGCCACCATTAAAGCTGCCCTTTTTGCAGCTATTTGTTTCAATCTACGTGTACCTTACTAATGCTTCACTGGCGTTGTGGTCATAAATCCTCAAGAAACACTTTATTCATATCAGAACATTAATATTCTCAATACTTGAACCGTTCTAGTGACAGAAGAGAACAAAGCGCAGTGTAATTACACATGGAGGATTTTAGCAAATTATACAGGAAAATTACTTTTGCATAATGTTTAAAAAACAATTGTCTTAATCTCTGCCAAGGAGCATTTTGTATTGACAGGAATATTTCTAAATTCTGAAATTGACATCCTTTGACTTATTCATCAGTAACCTGCCGGCCATTCAGGGCGCCGAAGGAAGATTTTTAACATGATTATCGAATCCATGCCTGAATCAACGCTTATGTTATTCTGACCTCAACAGACACTCCGCACAGATCTGACTGACAGGTGAACATTATCTGTGTTGTCAGTGCTGGTAACTCACTGATGATAAGGCATGCACAGTGATGGACGACTAGCATTTGCTGAGTGCAGGAATTTCTGCTTTTTGGGCACACAGACTTTGTTCCTAGTCTAGTGGTCGGTTTTAGGCATATCAAAAGGGAGGAGGGAAATTTATTTCAAGCTGCATAGGCTTACTTTACCAACAAAACTGCAGTAATAGTACAGAAGTAGACTAGCTGTGTACTACATAGTCAAACAAAACATTTTTACACTGAAAGCATTAATGTTAAAAGGAAAAGAAAGTGTGTGTGTGTGTGTGTGTGTGTGTGTGTGTGTGTGTGTGTGTGTGTGTGTGTGTGTGTGTGTGTGTATGTGAGAGAGAGTGAGTAGTGCCCCACTCCACTGGCCAGTGATCGTGATGGGCTGAGCTGATTGCCGTGGAAAAATTGGTGATTGGCATTTTGTCGATCAATGCCTCTCATTGACGATTACAAAAACAGATCACCCACAGCTCCTACTTTGCAGCCTACAGCCAACTAATGCCCAGCCTGTACGGAGTGAAGCATCCCCACCCACTTTCCTTCACAATGCGCATAACAGACCAAAGCTGGAACTGAATCAACTGCATTATAATATATGTTTGTGCATTTTCTGCACTGTCAGTTTCTAATAATAACTTTTTTGTATAATAAGGGGATGGAATTTGGATAGGAGTATTTTTTTTTATTCATCAAATAATTAAAAAAATAATTGACCAATGAATCTATAATCAAAATACTTGTTAGCAAGCAGCTGTAAAAATTAATCTTGTTATTTATCTGACTGATCGGCCAATCTCACCCATTGATGAGTGGCATTGAAATCAGCACCATAAAACTATGTTCGGAACACCAAGATAGATAGATAGATAATTTTACGGGGGTGTGGGAGGACAAAAGTAAAGGTACCGGTACTTAATTTTGAGCGACTCTATCAGAGACATATTCAGTTAACCGCATGTAAATTATTATGGGAGTAGTTGGTGTCTGTCTTACTTTAATTTTCCTTACAAGGTTAATGAAATATCTACTTATCCTTCCTTAGAGGTGACTGTATGAGAGGTTCAGCTCTCAATTAAAAAAAAACATTTTTAATCCAAAAACAAAACAAGGGCCAATTAACTGGATGTTTAATTAGATTTTAAAGCCAAGTGCCAATTGATAAGTGAGTCTTATTTTTATATTCCTCAGTGACTTTCCTTAATGAATATTTTGATTGCATGAACATTCATCAAAATTCCTCACAGTTAACTTAGATCTGCTGTTTTATTTTGGCACAGAGGGTAGAAACAAATGTTGGAGTCAGTCCTCATGAAGACATGCAATTTTGGTGTCATGCTTTGAAGCGTTTTGTTAACCATCCATCAAGGTGTTAACAGAAGAAAAAAAAAAAGATCCAACGCTGAGACCTGCAACTTGAAGATGACGCACAAACAGAAATGGATCGTGTCACTCCTAAGCAGGTCACACATAAGTCTCAAACCTTCAAGGCTGTAGCAAGTGCAACAGAATGCCATTTTGTCCTGGACAAGTCAAGACACACAGTTATCTCGAGTCAAGTCAAGCCACTTTATTAATGCAATCTAATCTGAAGTTTCTGATCTCTATAAAGAGAGCACTGTAATTCAATAAGGGTAACTGGTTACATTACTGGCCAATTTATCTAACCTGTATGTGCTGTACGTACAGTAAACCTATGCGTGGATTACACCCGTGAGGGCAATTAACGCACTCCACTTCAACACAACTTCAATAATCATCATGAAGTTTAAAATCAATCAAAACTAGTTTTCCACCGCAAACATCTTAAGTCAAAAACGTGTACGCTCCAAATAGCCACAGCATGATATTTTTGCACTATATCTGACAATATCATTTGTGTGACACAACCGTGCAACTGCTAAAAAAAAAAAAAAAGTAATAAGACATGTACCTACCGAAAAAAGTGACAGCAAAGCCCTCCACCACACAAGCCCAACGTCCAAGGAAGAAATAACCTCTGGCATTTGTCAGGAAACTTATTAGTCCTCCTGTGAGGGAGACTAAAAAGTCAGCTATGGCCAAGTTGACTATGATGTAGTTCAGTGGCTGTCTGAGTTGTTTGAACTTGTATGTGGCAAACATAACCAGGAAGTTTTCGGTCAGAGAAAGAGAAGTGACTACAAACATGAGCAGCGCCAAAATGGTGAAGTTCCATTGCGCGATGTTCTTGATGGGTCCGACGAACGGGTCGTCGTCGATCGGACTCTGCTCAGCCGCCACAGTGTAGGACACCGCGTTCACGGACAGACTTTGAGCCTCCATAGTCCATGACCACAGAGCAGACTACTCGCTCGATGTCTGCAACGCAGACAAAATCCCGATTCGGATCATATTGTCAACTTAACGTCAAACGCGTTCGCTGCGGTTATGGCGCGATCTGCGCGCCGCAACTCTCTTCTTAGAAAGTTTACGCCTTGGCATCCGCGCCATCCAAAATGCATGACAGAGCTAGGGAGACGGTTAAAAGTACAAGAAAAGTGAAAGCTGTTGAGGAAGAGAAAAAAAAAACGTGAGCGCAGGGCAAAGCCGGGCGACGTGCGTGCTGGACTCGCCGCCCCCCGTTTTGCTTGCAGGGAGCATGAGCCGCAGAAAGCTGCCGGTGGCGTGTTCGAGTGTCTTTTATAGGCTGCTGCTGCTGCTGATGATGATGATGATGATGCTCTTTTGCACTCCCGCCCTGAGAGCGCGAAAGAGGACTCATCCTCTTCCAAGTGCGAGCGAACCTCTCACTCTTCATTACCACCACCAAGGGGATGATTCGCTTAAGAGTGATTTAAGGCTTCAGAGTTTTGGTCACCGGCTTCGTTTCTACTTTTGCGCGAGGCTTTCATTGAATTTAGGTTTGATTCATTCATGAGTGTGCCTCAACACGCACACGCACACATATCATATATATATATATATATATATATATATATATATATATATATATATATATATATAAACCTTAAGCATATGTTTTTCTTCACACACACACTTTTTATTCCATAACATTAATGTGTGCAGATACATTTCATAATCCATAAAGTAATAGTTTTGGGGCGACTGCGTGACATTATGCACATTTTTCGAGGCCGACAAAACGCAGCTTAAATCCTTCCGTGACCAAATTCCTCACTGAATTTACTCATCTATCAAATCCATGAAATGATTTAACAAATGATATTTGATGTAGTGCAGCACTTCTGCGTTGTTATATGGATGAGTATGAGTGCAATATATTGCAGCATGTCTGAAGTGGGACATATACAGATGCAAAAATGGACATGAATCGTGTACATTGATCTAGTAACTGAGGTAGAATGCTCTGTGTATTATAGTCCAGTCACGAGTGGTATAGGGGAGGAAGTTTGTGGAAAGAGCTCAGCATCCTTACAGGCAGATAGATGAAGCTGTTTGACAGCATTGAGGTACCAGAAGCTCCGGTAACCTCATCCCTGAAGGCAGGAGGCTGAGAAGGGAATGTGATGGATTGGCGGTTTCACCCGGCGACGTTGATGGCTCTGAGGGTGTGGCGGGTGAAATAAATGTCTGTTATTGAGGGCAGATGAGCACCAATGATTTTGCTGGCTGTATTCACATTGCCTTTTGGGGTCTTCTGGTAGTAGGAAATGCAGGTTCCATATACACATACAGCCAATGACGATGCTCTTGATGGTGCCCTGGTAGAAGGAGCGTATGATTTACAAACAGACTTGTGCATTTGTAATGTGGTGTTCCTTTTCCAGGCAAGGTCCCTCGAGATGTGAACTCTTTCCGTCACTGGTACTGCTCACCCCTTCCTCAGCAGCACCATCAATGGTCTGAGTTAATGTGTATGACTGCAATGTCTACAAACTGACATTGAGGAAAATATTGTTTTTGCACCACTGGACCACCTGACTCACCTCTGTGTCGTTGGCCTCATCATGAATGGTAATAAAGCCGACCACTGGCACCTTTTCCAAAAACGTTATCATGCAATTGGTACTTGGTTGGGAAGAGATCATAGGTTACCAGTGTCAAGAGCAGCGGGCTAAACATGTATCCTTCGAGGGGCCACTGTGCTCACAGGTTGAGGGCTTGGTTAATTGAAGCGTTTTTGATCCTGTACTTGTTTTCTCTTTGTGCTTTTTTTTATGACAAATTCATTCCCTTGAACTCCTGCCTGAGCTGACGGCTTGTCTGCGCTGGGGTCCACCTGCCTTTGGCCTGCACGCTGCTATGACTAATAATCAAATATGACAGAATCATTATAAAGCTGGCCTTAATGGAAGAATGGCAAAACGAAAAGCTATTGTTGAAAAAAAAAAGTGTATAGGGAGCACTGTTTTTTAGTTTGCCAAAGCCATGTCGCGGACACAAAAAAAAACATGGAAGAAGTTATATAAGATTGAAGTGCCTAGCGTGTCTAGTGCAAGGCGCAATCTAAGTGTGCACATGGGTGGAGTTTTCGTTTTTTTGGGGGGGGGGGAATATTTTGCTTTCACAAGCACAGATAGAAGAGGGTGTTTGCACTGTTGTGGGATGCAACGTAGCACATAATATGAAGTACATACATAGATGAACAAGCATTCACACTCACAATCACACCGAGGGACAAGTTTTTGGAATGTGAAAGGAAACCGAAGTACCTGGAGAAAACCCACCGAGGCACTTGAAGAACATGCAAACTCCACACAAGAAAGCCAGAGCCCGGACTAGAATCCTGGATGTCAGTAATGTGAGATGGATGCGCCAACCAGTTGTCCACCGTGCCGCCTAATAATAACATAGACAGTTTATTTCAACAAATTTGTTATTTCAAAAGTCTGGATCAAACCGGTAGCCCTTCGCATTAATCCGTAACCAAGAAGTAGCTCTCCGTTTCAAAAAGGTTGATGGACTCTGAGTTTAAATGTTGTAGATATATATCAAAATACAACATACCAGTGAACAGAAATTTGTGGTTGAGCTTCAGCTATTTTACGAAGAAGAATGGACAAAAGTTTCAGTATGATGACCTGCAAAGCTGGTAGATATCCGCCAAAACTTCTGCCGCTCTAAATGCAGAAAAAGCTGCTTCTGCAAAGACTCAAATGTGCTATACACATACATTTTGAACCTCGTAACTGATTAAAAAAAAGGGTGATACCTCACACAATAGAGCACACGACTACACGCATAGCAGTACTGTATATGTCACACTCCCATCACTGACCTGTGAGAGGCAGCATCCAGACAGACAAGAAATACAAAGGAAGAAATGGAGTGGTCGAAGAAGAAATAAAATAATCCATCCATTAGGCGTGCTGGAGCCTATTCCAGCTGTCTTCAGGCAGTACACCCTGAAGTGGTTGTCAGATAATCGCAAGGCATACCGAGACAAACAACCATTCACACTCACAATCAATCACCTATGGACAATTTAGAGTGATGAATTAACCTAGTGTAGAATCTAGGCTAATTATTATGTTGCCTAGTAACTACATTGCAATGAAGTCTCGACTTTCTCATGCTTCTTTCCTCACAACTCATGTCCAGATAAATGGAAGAAGATTGATGGATGGATTTCAGAGACACTCAACACAACTACTTTCATAGGCGCTCGGTGTAAAAACTAGTGCATCTTCCTTTTCATGCCGGGGGCAAGTATAGTTTACCTTGCTTGGCAATTAGGCTTACCACACTGCGTCTCGCTGGGCTTTCGGACAGACCGATAGTGTTTTTTTTTTCTTTTTTCAGATGCCCCAGGCGCACCTGACAATTTGTTGACAGAAAGCTGACTAGATTTTAGAGGAGGCCCAAGTTGTGGCACAGGTGGTAGAATGCCATTTTGGTGGATTGGATCCAGTCACAGGCAGACTCGTTCTCTGTGTTCCACTGATCGGCCTAGTCCTTCTACCCACACTTGCACCCTTGTGCTCCTCAATTGCGCATTCCTGTCAAGACTACAAGTTGTAGGGTATCACAATTTTCCAAAGTGCTCTGTCACCGCGCCCTTTTTGCGCCTTGTTCCACACTTGTTCGACGCCTCAGCCGAAGCATATTACCCACAATTCATTGCGGATTTGACCAAAGTAGCAGGATACCATTCAACATGTAGAGTAAATATGGAATTATTACATCATTTATAATTTGTATTTGTTTAATTTCCGTCAGTGTTTTAAAGTCGCCTACGTATTTTTAAAATCCCCTGTAGATTTTGTTCTAGTGTATTTGGATATCATTGCATTTATTCAAAAGTATGACATCAGCGAGCGTCAAACACTCATTGTCATCGTAGAAATCACTTCATTGAAATGATTAAGGTCGGCCCAGTGCGCCACTGGTAAGTGCGTCAAGCTCACAGTGCAGAGGTTGTGGGTTCGATCCCGGCTCCGCCCTTCCTGTGTGGAGTTTCCGTGTTCTCCCTGCCTGCGTGGGTTTTCTCCGGGTGCTCCAGTTTCCTCCCACATTCCAAAAACATGGATGGAAGGCTGATTGAACACTTGAAATTGTCCCTAGGTGTGAGTGTGAGCGCGGATAGTTGTTCGTCTCTGTGTGTCCTGCAATTGGCTGGCAACCGGTTCAGGGTGTCCCCCGCTTACTGCCCAAAGATGGCTGGGATAGCCCCCCCCCCCCCGGCAACCTTTGTAAGGATAAAGCGGATCAGAAAATGGATGGGTGGACTTCACTGTTTGAGTCTGGCAACAGCGTGAGCTTTGGGTTGTTTCTTGATTGGCTATTGTTCTGTTTCACATCACAATCACCGAGTCCATTACCTGGCTCAAATCGGTGTGTAGCACACATAAGGATTTGCAAGCCTAAATAATGAGGAGTTTTAGCGTTTAGGATTGTCAGCCAGACTGTTCTCTGAACAGCTCAGAGAGGAATAATCACTCCTCAACACCCCAGGTGATAATCACTCAGTTTAATCTTTTAATGGGCGTTTGATTGTAGGGAGGAAAACGCTCCACTTTGGAGTGATTGATTCAGGTGGCTGAATACTTTTGCATGCCACACTTACCTTAAAAAAGGCAGTACTTGAAAAGCGGTTATTTGCCTTCCTTCTTTCAAATTATGTGCCACTTTGCGTTGGTCTATCACTCATCTATTTATGTTTTGGACACCCTCTAAAAAGAGATGACTCATGAATCAGATGAACTCGTCCCCCCCCCCCCCAAAAAATTAACAAAAGTTCAAGATGCATACTTTTGTAAGACATGACATAGTAACCTTTGCCAAGCCAAAAGTGGCCACAGAAACAACAAAACAAACCTGAACATTTCTGCTAAACTATGTTGACAATAGAAAGGTGAAGTTAATTTAGTTTCATACATTCATTTGTAAAAGAAACAAGAATGATTTTCACCTTTGCAAGAAACGTGAATTTTAAAAAAAGCACATCATTGTTGTTTCTTCATACGGTGACAAAATAAGTCGTCGATATGCCTTACGAGTTAGAATGGCGGAACTGCAAAATGGGTTCCTGACTTCAGTACCCTGCTGCATTTTAAGATGATGATACATAATGACAACATTTTCCAAATGTTTGCTAATCTTACAGACACCTACTGTTTCAGTTATTCTCCCACATGAACTTGGAGGTCAAAAAACAGCAGATATTTTTTTT